TAAAGAGACAGCTCATTAATTGGGATTAACAGATACGTCAATTGCTATGATTAGTAATTATTCTTCGGTTTAAAACAAAAGCGACCATCTACGTAAAACTTAAACCTAAACGTAATGAAAAGGGTATTCCCCGATAAATCGGATATATAGACCTCAGTTACCACGGAGTATCATTCTGCGAGAAGACAGCTACAACATGAGGTAAGACCTTATATATTTCTTGATAAATGTTTGGTAAAAAAGAAAATTTCATTTCAATGAAATAAATGTTAAGATTAATTAAGACAACGGTCTTAAACGGCGACTTGGATCGGATTTCATCAGTTATATAATCAACCATTAAATGTAGAGTATTATATTTTTGCTGTGGTTTTGTTTGTTTTGTTTTTACAATGAATTCTACAATATAAAACTGATTTGTTTAATGCATTAAGATGTTCAATCTGGCTTTTGTTTAATGATATATTACAAGTCTTATATTACATGATTTATTGTCCTGTTCAGGTTGGTAAACGTTCTTCGTTAGTGTTGAATGTAAATACAGCAAGACAAGTTTATTGCGACGATTTCTTAAAAAAAATGTAAAAATTGCAGACATGAAAGACTCTAGACAAAGCGAAGGGAGCTCGTTAATGCTAGTACTACTTGTGATGGTAAGCTTAATTTATTAATGACTTAACATGAATGTTTATCAATGTTCGCAACACTTTCATAGATTCTGGCCTTAAACATGCTTAAATATGGGAGTTTCAATAATTGTTAGTTCGTTTCTTCTTGACGCAGATGATTCTGCTAAAATTAATGTTGGAGGAAACAAATAGGTATTTTATTAAAATGAACTTCATTCAGTAAGTCAATAGTTAAATGTAATAAACTTTCCTTCACTTAGGCAAAACAAAGACAATATTATTTGGTTCTAAACATAGGTTTAAGACTTGTGCTTCTGTTAATGTCAGTTGTAAAGTACATGTATTTAATTATTACTTTAGATCAGTATGTCTGGACAGCTCTGTTATTAAAAAGGCCAATAGCAGTTTAAAGTTCCTGAGAGAAAACGTTATAATCTCACATTCCGCATAAAAAAATCAGGTTATGACCCTTTTGATTATGCATGCTGCTATTGGTTTTTCGGGGTTACTATGTACTTAAAGCATTAACCTCTAGGTCATACAAAATAAATCAATAAGCTTTGTTCATAATCTTGATCAAAGGTTACATATTGACTATGAACACTTTAATGTTTAAAATTGGGTACCTGTCCAAAAATAGTTGATCAAAGTACACTCTGTAATATTTAAAAAAATAAAATATGGTATTGCTCATGAATATATGGGAGAAAACTTTATTTCCTTAGATTCTCTTCATACTTACAGGGCTAGGTCAAGTGAAAAATGAATGTTGATTATTACCCAAGGTCAAAGGTTTCGGTGCAAAGTCATTTGCTTATAACGGTTGTGTACTGTGGAATTAACTACCCTCTTCTATAAAGGTGGAATCTTAGTTGTATAATTTTTTAATTACCTGTCAAAAAACACTTTCTAAATTGGTAATTGTCTCTTTAAATGATGTATATCCTCTAGTTTTATTTTCTATTATTTTGATATATTAAATTTTATTTTGAATGTTTTATGTACACTATTGTCTTTTTACAATTTAAATTGTGACTTTTACGCCTCTCTTTTTCAAAATCATCAGTATCGAAAGACTATAATGGAAATAAGACACTGAGTATTCTTTCTTGTGTTAAACTAGAAAGGATGTCTTTGACGTTGGTTCATTTGTTATACATGTTATATTATTTTTATTGTTTTATCATGTATTGGATATGTTTTACATGTTATTACATTATACTGAAATAAATCTATCAATCTAGCTTTCATAATATATCTATGAATCTAACTATAGTATGTCTGTCTGACTGTATGTCTGTTCATCCATCCATCCATCTATCCACCTACCTACATACCTACCTACCTATCTACCATGCATAAAGCTAGTAAGATGTAACAAAGCTAGTAATTATAAGCTGTAACATAATATTGTTAAGTATGAATATATAAATAGTGTTTAACAAAGAACAAACGTAACTAAAGGTAATTTTAGCTTTTGTGTCGACTCGCAAATAAAAAAGTATCATTTTCTTAAAATTATTTCTGGTCATCACAATAGCAACTGCAACAACAACATATAATTATAAGGATAAAATACCGACAAAATAAATTATGATGATAAAATTTGATTATACAGACAAAATTTATTTAAGTCTCAGACCGGTTTAACCGGGGGGGGGGGGCTTTAGAATTAGCCTCCGTCCGCCCGTCAATCCCTGTGTCCGTCCGCCAGTCTGTGAGTCAGACAGTCTGTCCACAAAACTCGATCCCGTTTATAAACCTTGATATTCTTAGGAGCTTTTACACGTTTTTTATTTCTTCCTAAGTAGAAAAATTGGTTGCTACGGCAACAAATAGACTTAAAATATGGCAAATATAATAATATTTGTGAAAACTCAAAAAATATTTTTATGAAACTTGAAATTGAGATGGTAGTATATGGAGATTATAAATATTTTTTTAAGCTTGATTGTAGGGAGTATATTAAGAGCTGTCCTACACACCCGGGTTCGGCACCGCGTCCAAATTTTGTTCACAGTAAAATATTTTTCACTATAAATTCTTAATTTCTTAAGGTATTTACTTCAAACTTCAACTGTATGTTTCTTATCATCAACAACATAATATGTGACAATGTTCACAACTCTAAATTATCAGATCCACATTCCTTGAACTTAGAATGTTCATGAAAAAAACTTTTTCGTTAACTTTTTTATTTCTTAATGTATCTAGTTCAAACTTGAAATGTATTCATTTGTTTCTTATTATCACTCAAATCATATGTGAGAAAATTCAATACTCTAGCTTGACTATTTCCAGAATTATGTCCCCCTTGAATTGAGATTTTTTTCTAGAAATTTTTATTTTAACTCAAATCTCTTTATTTTATAAAGGATTTACTTTAAACATTAGAATGATATGACAATGTTTATAAATCTAGCGTTCATAAACTTTGAATCTTCCTTGTTCATTATTTAATTTTCTTATTTCTTCATGGAGTTACTTCAGATTTAAAATATATACTAATTATCAACACCTTCATCATATGAGGTTAGCTTTACAAATCTAGGGGCCTGGGTTTCCATGATTATTTTCATTCATTAAATTTTCTTCTTTAATACTATAAAAGGTATATTTGAAAATTGCTATTTTTCACTTTTTTCGTTGAAACTGTAAATGGTGTCTACTTTAAACTTAAACTTTAGATGATTGTTCTTTGTCATCAATTACATATGCATATGAAAATGTTCATAAGTCTAGCATCTTTATTTCAATTTTTTTCTCCCCTATAGTTTAAGAATGTCGCTTTTAAAAATGTTATTTCCTGGTGGCAACCGTCCGTCCGTCTATCTGTCCGTCCCTAAAATATATTTCCTGAGATCATTTTAGAAGAACTTGGAACTTTTCAAACAATTTTACTTAAAAAAGAGAAAAGTTGAAACATATGTTATAAATATTCATCTTGAGGAAATGGGTTCTTTTGATTATCTATTGTATTAACATAATATCCTTTCTAGACAGACAGGGAAACGTAACATATTACCAAGATATAGACAAACTAAAACTCAAAATATTTAAATTTATTAATTTCTTCCGATTTGGATGGAAGTCTCTGAAATTCATAACACGGAACTGCGGGTCAGGTATATGTGACTTGTTATTATATATCTTACTTGAAGAATATATGGAAAATCATTTTAAGGTTAGTATCAAATGAAATAATGAAGCTACATAATTATGTGTAATTAAAATTCAAATATAATTAATTTTCTTTCAAAGTCGCCAAAAATGAAATTACGAGTTTACCTATCATATCTCAGGGATAGGCGAGTGAGTTTTTGAAATCGAATCTGATGTAAAATTCAGATGTCTTGTTTAAAATTTATTTTCAAAAAGAAATCTTTTATTTCTAGGTCTACATTAAATTATATTATCTTGTGAATACCAATCCACTCAAACTGTGGCATGCTTCACCAATCAAAAAGCGGAGAGCGAAAAGATCACCAACTGAACAAAAATGCTGTATGAGTAAGAGTTTTGAGATACGGGGACTATCGATATCTGAATGCGAGTGCATAATAGATGGTACAGCAAATGGTATAAAATAGTATACTACAGTATATTGACATACAAATAAGTAATGAAATTTGCTATCAAAACTAATTAAACTTTAAATCAAATTAGATAATTAAAACATGTACAATTAATTAATCATAAGTGTCACTATGTTACACTACTATGAGACAGTGTCTTTGTTTGTATTGTTATACAGAGCACCGAACGAGGGAACAGTTTCAGCTTGATGTTTCATTGCAAGAAAATGAATCTTCACAACTTGTACTTCACTTGTTAGTCGGGAGTTGTACAGAAAGAGGTAAAATTTATTCTGTTAAATCGAATTTATTAACAGTATGATTATCAATATTGATTTCAACGAAGTCGACAGTTCCATCGGATATTTATAAATGCATTAAATCTGTCTGTCAAAATGTATCCTTAGAAAATGCATCTCTGGCAGGGACAATTCACATACACAATAAAAAGGCTTATATTTCTTAAAATAAGTTGCTTCAAAAATGGCTAAAAACACTGTCGTATTAAAAAAATATCTCATTTTTACTAGTACAGACGCATTATGATGTTCTCGTTCATAAAGAAATAATTAAATGTTTTACAGAAGAATATTTAATGAGTTGCAAAATACTTTTTACATTTTATAGAATCTGTAACAAAATACATTGCTAGATGTTGAGACGACCATAGGTTATAACTGATTATAAATGATTATTGGTGGTTTCTAGGTTTGGAGGGCAGACTGTTTTTACTGGATGTCGAAAGCATTGAATATGTAAATGACTTAGGTATAGGTATAACATTTTCAATAGTATATAATATAATATATAATATACAAAAAAACGAAGCATAATTGCAATGTAAGTTAATAAGTTACAGTCTAAAGTTATGATTTATGTAAATTACGCATCAACGTAATCACCAGTGATACATGTATGTGTAAAACAATATTGGACACTAACCTTTATTTATAAATTTAATTTCAAACCTATATTGAAAATAATTGTTATCAATAACGATGCTTTCCGTATTAAGTTAATTGATATGCCTTTTTCTCTAGACGATGAGAGTTGTCTTGGACCTTCAGCTGAAGAAATTTCAGAACAATGTACTGCAAGCGTTATGAAACCTCATGATTGTGCCACGGACATGAGTTACAAAATTCATGAACAGTGTTCACAGCAGTATATGTCTGATTCAAGACTAGGGGGAATAATATCACATTCTGACGAATACCTATCAATCCTATAGCTCTACGGAAAAGGATAAAAGTACTTTTCATTTCCATTTTTTTTGAGATTGCAGATGCCTTCCAGAAAATTCCGCTTATAACGATATTCAAGGGCCCGCCGAATTTGTATCGTTATATCGTTTTATCCGAAGGCAAAAGCCTCGTTATAAGCGGTATATCCTTACAAGTAGAGTTTTATTATTTGCATTATTAGTTGTATTATTCTTTATTACCCTTACACTTTGAATAAATATTAAATGTCCAAGCATGCCACTTAATTTATCCAAACAATTTACCCAAGTTTTATATAATTGCAATATTCAATGTGTAACAAATGATCTACATGTATTTAATCTTTTCTCCAGACGATAGCAGTTGTGCGGAAGTCTCAGCGGAGCGAACCTATGTGTCCACCGAAACTACGAACTGTGATTGTACAGCGAAAAATGGTTACACAGAGCAGCAGGAATATTGCAAACTCTGTGGTGCTGAAGCAAGACAAGATCATTTAAAGCCACAATCTATAGATTACTTGTCAGTCAGAAGCTGTGGAGAAAATGGTAATTGCAATGTTCTTTATTTTCACCTCGAAAGTAGGAAATTGAGGATTTGACATTTGATATGTGTTTTCTTTTATATTCAATTTTTTTAATCACAACATATGGATTGTGATATTATATTAACTATGACAAATTTGAGTGTCTTTAAAAGGTGGACACGTATAGTATACGCATATGAAAATTATCATATTTCGTGAACTTGTTTCTTGATATTTTCGTATTTTCAACGTTGTTAATTTTAAATTACTGTTTCATTGAAATAGAAATTCCTGATGGTGAAGTGGCTGCAAATGAGGAGACTATTAGAGCCAGCTGTGTAACATGTGAAGTAGGAGAGTGGCTAGAAAGTAATGTTCATAAGCAACACCCTAAACACCATAAAGGCTTACATCCACATGAAAAGATTAATAATTGCGCTTTCCCTACAAATCCTGTCTGTCCGAAGAGTGCTGCTAAAGTAATTGAATCTAACTGTGAAAGTTTAGTTAGAGATATTTACCCTCATAAAATAAGCAATGACATGTCCGAAGACAAAGTCAGTAAAGCCCCATTAGAAGTAATGACTGTTCCCCCCCTTACATTACCAGATCCTTTTCACCGAGACGTGCTCGTCGTGGTCTAGGCACAGGGCAGAACATGGTAAGAGCTTAAATAAAAAAAAGGCTTTTAGCATGTTTTGTCCTGACAAACGTCGGTGTTTAATCTTTATAGGCTCAAATTTGACCAAAACAATTTATGCCGTTCATTGTTTGTAAGCAATCTTATTCACCAAGTACACAACGCTAGGAAAGAGTAGAAAGAAAGTGAAGAATGTGTTTTGATGAGATTGATCTGTAAGTTGCCTAAAGGAAAATTAATATGACTGAATTCATACAGTAAATGAATAAATATATATATTTTGGAAACTACATTAAGAACACTTGTATCGTATTGTAAAATCAAAGTGCTGCAGCACTGAATGCGACGGACATGCAACCGGAGAGACATTATGGTTTTTTTAAGAAAAAAAAACAACAACACAGAATATAACAGATAAAATTTGTTCCATACAAGTTCGAGATTTGTAGAGCAATATATTTTATGTGTCCCATTCTGATATAATTCAGATTTTCTACTTTCAAGCAGAACAAGTCCAAATTTTTAAATACAGAATGAAATTTATGCCTAAAAACTCTGGTCAAACTTGTAAATCAGTGTCCTTATCGATTTATTCCAAGAAATGATATGTAAATAGAAAAAAAAACTGTCTAAAATAAAACCATGCAAATAAACTTCAATCATAATACATAATACATGTGAGAATGTTAATTAGAATTGCTGCGTGTTATATCATAGTGGGCATGTAGACAATAAAATATAAGTCATTTGTATTTTTATTTTTATTTCTCTTGGATATGTCTCATTAAAAATATTTTTGGTTAAAATCATCAGCAATTAATGGTGTATTTTTTTTAGATTTTTTTTTCATTTACGTCACTTAAGCACTACAGTGTTTAGCTGTCCCTTTCAATTTCACACTAAATTCCATTTTCAACTTGTTTGCTTCTTACAATTGTATAGAATTTCATAAAGTATTGCATGTAAACAAAGTAAGTATCCGCTGGTTTATTACATGTATAATGTGTACTCGTCCGAAAGTCAGCACAGATGATGCAGAATCTATTTTTAGAATAGTGTTATCTTCTGGCTATTATAATCTCATAGCAGGTTAACTCATATCGTGACCTAGAAAACTATGTAAACAAAACACAAGAATCGGAAGTAGAACTGATATTATAACTTCCTTCAATAAAGATTACCATGAAAGACTATATGGTGGTAAAGTGTTGAAAAACTCCCTTGTTACATGCATTTTCAAAAATAGAGATTTATAATACTAACCATTGTACTGTAGTCTGATTTATTAATAACTGCTGAATATTCAGCTAAACCCGCGGTATGAGTCACGAAAAGAGTTCTTCTTTTATTAATGCGCGAGTTATCTAAAGTCACGAAAAACTTTTGATCTGTTAATAAAAATGTTTTGTTTAATGGGGAAATATTTATTTCCTGCTTATAATTTCTATGAATTATTGAGCTTACTCCTTAATTATAGCATAATTTGCTGTCCTACTTTTTCGACAGCGGTAAATCGTTTCAGCAGTTATTTGCATAATTGCGCATTAATACTACGGGGCTACAGCGTTTTAATCAATCAAATACGTTTATATTTTAACTTGGATAACTTAATTTGAAATTGAAAAGGCTAAATATGGAAGTTTTTAAGATATCCCGTCGAAGTATGGGAGTTTCATAGGATCAAATTCATGTACTATTACGTGGGCTGTTATTCGGTTGAGGACACATTGCGCGATCGTAGCCAACGAAATCCCATGTGTAGATGACATAGCTCTGAACGCGGCTGAGGGCGCGTCCGTCGCAAAAAGTATTGTATTGTAAACTGGATTGCATTGTAAAATATACAATTCACGATAATATAACAATTAGTCTATTTGTAAATTTTGTAGTCTATTTATTGTGATTTATTCTAGTCTAAATATTTTAGACTTTGTGTACGTATTAAAATTTTAGAAGTTATAAATGTTTCTGTTATGCTATTGAATTCGAAAATAAACTAAATTTTGAAGAAAAATTGTGTTGAGACTCGATATTTTATCTTTATAAAACATTTCTATTTGTATTATAAACGAAGAGTATCACATTATCTTTATAAATGGATCCATGGACTTTGGATATACTTCTTAATTACGTCATTACGTCAATAAAAAAACAATAATAAAGCTGGATCTAACAATGTTTATTTACAAAGTCATTTTTGATCATATTTTAAGAACTTTCGGGATCTTTATTGAACTTACTGCAATGCATGTGAACTTGATTTCTCAATAAGGTAACATTTATAATCAAGTTACGGTAATTAACACCAAACTGCTAAACAATGGGCACACAGATCTCAGTATGAATTTTGTTTCCTTTTTTATGTCCCAAATTAAACATGTGTGAGGAAACAGTTGTGGGGTCGGCCTGTACGTCTGTACATCCTGTTATTTATGTCTTAAAATACCTATAAGCTACGGTTAATATAACTTGGTAGAGGCATGTCCGCCTTCTATTCATTTCGAGATAACGTTGTAAAATCTTTGCCCGATCAAAAACTTGAATATGATTAAACCGTTGTTTAAACTTTGTAGGGGATTACCCATGGCTAGTGGATGACCCGAATTGATTTTGATGCCATTGGGTCAAATGTCATGACTAAGTGTAAAATCATTGCCCAATCAATAACTTGAGACGAAATAAGCCGTGACTTATCTAACTAGGAATGAGCAGTAGATGACCGCTATCATTTTTGAGATTATACGGTCAAAGGTCAAGATAATACTTTGCGTAATACCTTCGTCAGGTCAATGACTGTAGAAGAATAAGCACAAGTTTGTTACACTGGGCAGAGACTTTGTTCATGATGAACTCTAATGTATTTTACGTCATAAGGTTGAATGTCAAGGTCCCAGTGACAATTTGTGTAAAAGTCTTGTCTGATAAATAACTTGACAATAAATAAGTTTGTTTAACTTGTTAGGGGCATTGACCTTGGCTAGTAGAAGTCCCTCCTGTCACTGTGACACTGTGTAACATCCTTATCTCATCAATAACGCTGTTGTTTCTAATACTTATTAAGGTCAGCAGGTCTCATTGTGTGGAACCTCTGCCTTCAGATGAAATAAGTCCAAGTTCGTTTAACTTAGTAGGGACATTGCCCAAAAGCAAGTAAATGACCACTACTGATTTGAATTTCTTAAAACAAAGGGCAATGACATGATAACGTTGTGTAAAATAGTTGTTTGGTCAATAACTCAAGAAGAAACAATCATATATTAACTTGGAAGAGACATTGACTTCGTCCAGTCAATGACCCCTAATCTTTTATGTCTTAGGTCAAGGACATTTTGTGTAAAATCCTTGTCAGACCAATATTTTGAAAAGGAATACTCACTGAAATTCTAGTTAAGACATTACACATGTCCTGTAATTGACCTCCATGTATTTGAGATCATCAGGTCAAAGTTGTAACAACACTGTGAAAACATTGTCTGATCGTTAACTTGAGATGGAATGATTGAGTTGCTTAAGCCAATTGATGTCGTTTACTGATTATAATTAGTTTTAACATATTTCATTAAAGACATATTGTACATACAATGAATACAAACATATTATACAACATGTACAATGGTGAAAAAGGATCAGATCCGAAAGCATACAATGCTTATAAAGGTATTTTCCTAACATATAATTCATTAGTGTAAATTTTGACGATTCTTTATAGATATGGTTCGAAATATTATATAATATTAAATATTTTATCAACAATGAATTTAGAAAGATGAAAAATGCAAAAGTGTCAGTTCAGAGCTGAAAGTGGAGAACTAAGTAAGCTAGGAAATCTTGCTTTTTTATATGTCAAGTTTCAACATAAAAATGTTGACATGACCTAGATAAATGACACAAATAAAAAAGAAATATTGACGTTGTATGCCTCAAAAGGATGAGATTAACAAATCTTTCATTTGGTAAGAGGAAAGAGAAATCCCAACCCGATTGCCCGTGGTGTTAGGATTTCCGAATCGTCTATCAAACCCAATGACTGATTATTTTTCTCACTAACCATGACACATAGTAAATACATCAGTTCAACTACTTCCACAATTGACGGCGAAGCAGGGCGAGACTTAAGCAAGCTGTGGACGTTCCATAGTTTACGAATAGCATTTTACATTTCAAAGATTTTCTACGGATCAAGTTAATTTGACAAAATTTCCTTGAAAATAAATTTAGTGAGATTCGTCATGATACAGCGGTGTTTGGACTTTACACCTCCTGGATGTTTCACCCCTGGACGTTTCACCCTCAAAACCCTGGTCTTTTCACCTCCACTTTTTAAATTTGATAAATATATGAAATAAATACCATTATGGGTTATAATATTTTATATAATATAACACATACTTGCAAACAATTACATTCATGATATAAAGAAGATTTTTTTGACATAAATATAGTGAAATTTCCCTGGAAAAATAATTATAAATATGAGTTCTGAAAGTCTACATGTATATATTATTTCATGTTTTTTTTGTTATCCAAAAATTAAATACCATAAAAAATATTAATTAATTAAAATATGTTTTTATATAACAGTTGTTGGGCTAATATAATAGATAAGAACAATTAGAAGTGTGAAAGAATTTTAAATAAAGCATTATAAACACTGGTTTATTAATTACTAAATTAGCACCTTTAGAAGTGTGTAACTTATAGTTCTCTGTAACAAATTTGTGACAATTTAATTGATTTGTCAGATTAAAGTACCTTTTTTAAATAGAATATATTAAAGAAAATCAAAGGCCAACAATTGCAAAAAAACAACTGCATATTTGATATAAATTAGCACCTTTACAAATGAGTAACAAGCAAAATTAATGCCTTTAAAACACACAATTTTTTGTCAATTTTCATATTAATGTATACTTTCACAATGTCTGATTCTGTGTATCTTTGTGCTTCTTGCTCTGAATTTGTGTTTGATGATGATTTAGCAGTTTCCTGTGATGGATGTAATTCTTGGCAACACATATATGTAATTCAGGTAAGTGATAATAGGAGGTGTAAAGACCAAAGGTGAAACGTCCAGGAGGTGTAAAGACCAAAGGTGAAACGTCCAGGAGGTGTAAAGTCCTGAAATCGATACAGCGAGGTTATCATTACCAAAACATGAATGTTAACCATGGAAAATGAACTAATATTAATAATTTTATTAGAAGTTTACTGTGACAAATCTTATAAACATCTAGTTTCCTAAGCCATAGGTTTGGAGCTGGAAGTTACAAGAGCTAACAATAGTGAATACACAATTTCGATGATTATAGTCTGTATGCTGGGTAAGGGGAACTTAAAACCAGAAAATGTAATTATAAAACACATGCCAATTTATAAACAACATTTATTTCTTTGTCTACAATGCGATTCCTTACTGGCAGTATTCTATCATGTTTCATGTATCAACAAGTTTTGTTTATTATTTAACATTAGCATATAACAAATGTATACCAGTTTATTGCTAACGAAAGAAGTTTTACTTATTAGCTTAAATTATCATAGGATTAATTCATCAGTTGAATCAATGTATTATCATAAACATAAGCAACTCCATACAAAAGAATCACTACGAAATATCAGTATCAATTTTCCTAAATATCAAAGGCATTGCAAATTATTACATAAAACAATTTTGGTATCAACCATAGAATTTGTCGTTACAGAACATTTAATGTACATTAAAGGGTTATTTAAAGATATTAAATATCTACACATCACTTGATGACACTTGTTCAAAACATATTTTTTTTCTCTAAAAAAATATACAAAATACACACTTTAAGTGGGTAGCTACTGCACGTGATAGACAGAACACAGTTGCGTATATAATCTTTATACTGTAAAGGAGGTATCTTTGTGTTATATTTGTAGCTTCCAACTGAAATTTCAAATCAATCTTTATTAGCATAAGTGAACAAGAGACTACGGAAATGTTGTTTATAAGTTTGTAAATAAAGATCTACAGATAAAAAACTAAACTGTGCTCAAATGCATTTTGGCAGTTGAAGTGCAAGTGTTTTGGTTATCTCCATATTCAGGATGGTTGATAATGAAAGACAATTAATAATACTTTACATACATGATTTTTTACCTTAACATGTAAACATAATAATCAGTACAATCTTTAATACACCATTTTGTTCAAATATATCCGAGACTAAAATGAGACAATTAACAGTATAACTCAGAATGGTCATAAAAATAATTTTGCTTTGGGATACATAGCTGCTAGTGGAGGAATATATCTATGTATAATGTTAAGTTCTGGAAATTTATAATCACATTATTTAAGTATAAACTTCTATCTTTAGCTCAAGTGTCATTCTTAAAACCTATAAGCTTCAAAAGAAACTTGTCTGTGTGTGGTTTTAGGCTTCTGTTATGTGGAAATGTGGGAATCACTTTAACAGCCAATCAAAGTTATATGTATACTTATAAAAAGTTTTGAGCTAACCTAACTGAAACAAGTCAATCTACATAACCGCAAAACAATAAACATTCTTAAAATAAAACTTCCCTTAAAATCAAAATACAAAATAATTTTGCAAATAATACGTGAAGCAATAACTGAAATTTTCAAATAGTAAATTGTTTATTTGCAACCAAACTTTTAAGCATTACATACTTTTGATTCAAAAAGCATAAAGTATGCATTTAGCTGTGCCATCTGGTTGATTGATCAATGAAAAACATCAAAAAATAAAAATTGTGAGATTTTGTCCTCTAAAATCAATTGACATAAACATGTAATCAGAAGTTTGAAATAACAGTATTCAAAGTTGAATAGTTCTGATAAGCCTAGATGAAGAGTCAGACAAGTAAAAATAACTGATACATTCTTTATGACAACTTTGAATAATTTATCTCCATTGAAAGACCAAAAATCCTAAATGGACATCAGATATTCACACAATAAAAGCAGCTGCTTAGAAATTTCTATTTACTGAATCCAATTAATGTTTCCACTTTAGGAAATTTTGATCATTTTGCTAAGTTCATGTATGATATCAATAAGCTAAAGTTACATTAAATCTCACATTGATCAACAATTATTTTCCACGAATCTATGATATATGTTTAAATTTTTAAACCAAACAGGACATCTTTGGCACAAGGCAAGCTGATAAACAGATTTCAAATATTTCAAAGCAAAAAGTTTAAGCACATAGCGGTTTTCACAAAATACAAAACAAAACAAAATCATGTGGAGGGAAGATATAAAATGGAAGTAAAGTGAAATATTTTTGTAAGAGTATTAAACATTTACTAAGAACTAGCTTGAATCATGTATTATGATTGTATCATCTTCAAAGAAAGCACTTTTGTTACGCTAGATCACTAATCTAAAATTAGTCCAAGGGAGGTAAATCCACATTTGTACAATAAAAAGTTTTGACAAGAGTTGTCTGTGTTCAGTTATGTTTGCTGAAATAGGTTTTGGATCCTTTGACGTCAGCCTTCATAGTGTCTGCACCAGGTTTCCAGTTGGCAGGGCATACTGTGAATAAATAAAGAAAAACATATAAATGGATAATTATTTTAGACTCACAGTCAGTAAATGTAATTGTATCATAGTTTTGGGACCTTTTGTCAGAATTAAATCATTTACATATATACATGCACAGCGCGTTAACTGGAGTGCAGGTATTTATAATAAGTTACCTGCACTCAAAAGCATGCCCATTGATTGGCTCGTATTTTCTGGGGTATACTTATAGTGACAGCAGAGAAAGGGAAAGCCACAGAAATATTCATTTGTTACTTTTTTCTGGGGTTTCATAATGTGACAACAGGGATCGTGTTTTTATGTTTGACTATGATACAAAAGAGAAAGAACATCAAAACACTCTGCAATCTGATAATACTGGGGCGCTACTCCCCTCTCATACAAATCAGAAAGCCTCGTGTTTTGATGCTCTTTCTATTACTTTTTTGGCAAAAGATAATGCCCACACAAAGTTTAAAAAACCTAAAAATCATTTTAAAACTTTAATTATAACACGCTTCACACCATTTCATTATCTATCAGATAGGACAATCAAGTGCATTATTACATGATACATGCACAGCATTAAAAAGGAATGCCAACACGTCTTATGACGTCAATAAACCAAATGATGTTAAGAAAATTACTTCAACGCTCCATGTAGTTCAACATATTTATTTTTATCAATTCTCTTTTTTTTTTACCTGATTAGAATGGAAATAGTAAGTCATGTAAGAGTTATAGGTCTTGGGCAGTGAACTCCAATTATACTATCAAATAAGAGTGTGAAGTTTCCACGGATTCCCTCCAGCAGTTTTTGAGATACCAACTTGCACGCAAAAACTTAACAAAAGTGTGACACTGACACTGATGCCAAGTTGAGTAAAATAAGATCTCCCTTTTTTAGAATAGTTGAGCTGATAATGGATCATATGGTACATTACCTTCTCCATGTTTGTCAGTGAACTGGAATCCTTGAACAAGACGGAGCACCTCGTCAACGTTTCTACCAACAGGAAGATCGTTGATTGTTATTTGACGTAGATTACCCTTGTCGTCAATGATAAACAAACCTCTGTGGATGAAAAAAATGTGCAATAAAGTAATGTATAAATGAGCCGCGTCATGACAAAACCAACATAGTGGGTTTGCGACCAGCATGGATCCAGACCAGCCTGCACATCCGCACAGTCTGATCAGGATCCATGTTGTCCGCTTACCATTCCTATTACAAGTAGAGAAACTCAGATAGCGCACAGCATGGATCCTGATCAGACTGCGCGGATGCACAGGCTGGTCTGGATCCATGCTGGTCGCAAACGCACTTGTGATGTGGCTCAAATTATTTTTACTAGTCCTCTGTGTATGGAATTATTATGCAAAACGATTTTAATTCAAGATCATAACTTTAGTAAACTTTTAAGCTTTACTGGTGAGGGAAAACCTAAGGTCCACCTCTGTGCATTACTTCGGGCATTGGCAGGCACCTAAGTAGACCAACCAACAATCCATATCCTGGCTGGACAGTTTTCTCACATTAAAAGATCCAAAGTCGCATATGATAGCTGGATAGCTATTTTACTGTTAAGGAAATAAAACAATTGTTCCTGTCTACAGAATAACATTAAGTCAATCATTCTCAATGTATTCATGAAACAATTACTGAATGTATAACAAGAGCTGTCTGTAGGACAGCACGCTCGACTATTCTAAGTGCTTGATAGTAAAAGAGCCTTGATAATGTTAAATTTTTTAAGTTCACAAAAGGGCTAATTTTTTTTATAAATTCATGTTATAGGTCATAGAGAGAGTCTAATTATACAGAATTGGCTTGACTATTTGGAAGGTAATGTCACAAGGGTTTTTTATTGAGTATAATAATACTAATTACCTATGAATACATAAATTTGACAGAAAAGGTAAAAAGCTTGTTATTAAGATGTTTTATCAAGTAAATCACTGCTTTATTATTATGAATGCATAAAATTGTCCCAAAAAAGGCACAAACCCTTCAGTAGTTATTGAGATAACAGCTTACAAGCAAAACTTTACCATGAATTTCTAAGTTGAAAAAGGGGAGAAAAATCAGCCTAAATGCAAGATAGAATTATGGATCTTTGTCAGTGACCTACAATTATGACCCTAAATGCATATGTGAAGTTTTCAATAAATATCTTTAATGGTTATTGAGATATGTAAAACTTGCAAGTAAACATTAACCAAGAGACTAAGTAGAAAAGGGGATATGAATCAGCCTTAATGCAAGATAGAGTTATGGAACTTGGTCAGTGACATACAATTATGCCCCTCCAATTATGACCCTAAATGCATGTGTAAAATTTCAAGTAAATATCTTTGAAGATTTTTAACCTTTAACCAAAATTTCTAAGTTTCAAAGGGGCAAATAATTCTGCAAATATTGCAGACAGACTCATGCAATTTTGCAAACTGATGTACATTGTTATTATAAATAAGAATTTTAAATTTCAATTGAATATCTCGAGCAATAATTGAGATATTTGACTTTACAAAAAAACTTTAACCAAAATTTCGAAGTTCCAAAGGGGCATAATTCTGTCAATATGGTAGGCAGAGTTATCCAACTTGTCAATCTGATGTACATTGTTACTATAAATAAGTATTGTTAGTTTCAATTGAATATCTCAAGCAATAATTGAGATATTTGACTTTACAAAAAACTTTAACCAAAATTTCTAAGTTAAAAAGGGGCATAATTCTGTCAATATTGTAGGCAGAGTTATCCAACTTGTCAATCTGATGTACCTTGTTACTATAAATAAGTATTGTTAGTTTCAATTGAATATCTCAAGCAATAATTGAGATATTTGACTTTACAAAAAACTTTAACCAAAATTTCTAAGTTAAAAAGGGGCATAATTCTGTCAATATGGTAGGCAGAGTTATCCAACTTGTCAATCTGATGTACCTTGTTACTCTAAATAAATATGGTAAGTTTAAATTGAATATCTCAAGCAATAATTGAGATATTTGACTTTACAAAAAACTTTAACCAAAATTTCTAAGTTAAAAAGGGGCATAATTCTGTCAATATTGTAGGCAGAGTTATCCAACTTGTCAAGCTGATGTACCTTGTTACTATAAATAACTATTGTAAGTTTCAATTGAATATCTCAAGTAATAATTGAGATATTTGACTTTACAAAAAACTTTAACCAACGCAGACGCCGACGCGGACGCGGGGGCGACTACAATAGCTCTCATATTCTTCGAATAGTCGAGCTAATAAAACAAACAGTCTAAGCGTAAGTAAATTCATCAATTAAATTACTACTAGTTTCTATTATTCTACTGAGTAGATCAGCAAGGCAGCTGAGTAAATATTTTGTTTGTTAATTTCCCTTGTAAATGTATAGGGAAGTTCAATCATTCTGTGTTGATAATACTATTGGTTATACAAGTTGTTGACAGGGTCAAGATCATAATTGATGACCGGATCAAGCCCAAGGTGCTTGCAGAGGGTTATATTTATATCAGCAAGGCTATATTCTCCTGTAATCCTGCATGAGTAAAATATGAGCCTAGGCATTAACTGAAGGTTATATTTATATCAGCAAGGCTATATTCTCCGGTATAATCATCCTGTCAGCAACTTGTATAAAGAATTAATAATAGTGCAAATTGTTATTAACAGTAAGTTCATAGGAAAACCAACTTTTCAAAGAAGCACAGGAAAATGGCACACTTCAATAAGATAATGTAAGATGTTTAACTGCTATACTTATGTTGCTCATTAAAAAGTAATTCAAATATAAAGTCAACATAGGGATGTAACTTTTGACTATCTATTTTGAAGAAATGATATTTTAATTGAGAAGTATGCCTTTTAGAACGAAACACAATAATAAATTTCATGCTCAATTTAAACTGTCTATGGCATATGAATACATTGTTACTTGTGGGTGATTCGGTTCTTCACAGTTTATACGGCAAAGTATACAAAGTGTTGAAGCCAATCAGAGTTTCAGACATTTATTTGCATTGTTATAAATGTATGTATACACTTTGTTTTGGAAAAAGGTCATTGTTTCAGTTTTATTTGTATTCCACTAATTTCCATACTTTGCAAATTAAAAGCTCCTCATAAACTACTAATTCATTGCCTTAAAGTATATGAAAAATTTATTGCAGCACCTTTATAATTTGCTAAAATAAAATCTCCTTTAAATTAATTGAGGTAATGAACACAGATAGAACTCCCAATATCTACATGGAGATGCTTACACTTTAATCATTAAGCCATCTTTTTTCCTTTAATCATGTATGTTTTCCATGTCAACAAAATAAGTCCCAGGGGGATTGGTTTAACTAATTAGTAATCTAGAGTAAAAAATGTAGCTACTTGATGTTTCAATTCAATATTTGCTTTTAAATGAAAAAGTTGTCAAATGTAGAGGTGAAAATATACCTTTTGGCCATTACTGCCCCCATAGAAGACAAACAAAAATACTAAAAACACTGCATTACATAGAATACACTGTCGTACAGAAAATAAAACCCAGTTATATGTAAGACTAGATTTACCTGAAAGCTATCCCCTCATCTTCCTTAAACACACCGTAAGATTTGGAAATACTGTAAGTCTTATCTGCTACAAGAGGTATATTCATGCTGCCTAGACCACCCTGCTTCCTTGGTGTGTTCACCCTGTAAAACAATCATGGTCATAGTGACATAATTATACAACTTAAATACAAATGTATACCAAAATTCCTGAAAAAAAAATTCAATTGCTCAATGACTAAATGGTTATATCCACATTCTATGCCAAATGATTATAAAAATTCAGCAGGTAATGCCCCGGTCACATATTCACGGATAATGCCACGGAAGCGCTACGGTCTAATCGTTCACGGATTACTACGGAAATGTGAAATTTCGTAGTCTGCTACGGTTCCAGTACGGACACACAACGGTATGAGTACGGAGTCTGACGGATTTACCACCAAAAGCCCCCGGAGAGACACGGATTGTTACGGACTGACACGGTTTGATACGAAGCGACACGAATCAGGACGGACGCACTACGGATACACTACGGTCTGCTACGGTATAAGCACGGGTTAGTACGAATAAGTACGGTCTGATACGGAGAAGAACGTATTGATACGGAGAAGAACGAATTGCCACGGATCTATACGGACCTAATACATCCGTCCACAACCTCTTGCTTGCTCATTTTCAAAATGCCTTAAAAGAAAAGAACACCTAGAAAACGAATTGCAGAGTTCAATGATTTTGGCGGAGAGGACTCGGCCTAATCACATCCGACCCCCGAGACACATCAGGTCCGATTAAAGTGAATTTCTTGATGGACGCTGGATCCTCAACAAGTTCGGCCATGAGAGCCTCATACTTAACTTGAAGCGGTCTTCGTAAAATACCATCTCTGGTCCACCATCTCGTCTGTCTTCTCTTACCTGATTATATGGACTAGTAATCATTAATGAAAAATGTTTATCAATACTGCTTCTCTTTTAATTTTAAGATTTGCTGTTCATCTTACAATTACATTAATTATCGTGATGTTTATGTTTTAAAAATATGTAAAAAGCTTGTTAATTAATCTTATTATCACTCAAGGGCCAGCCTCCGAGGCTTATGAGACACTTCGTTTTATGTACATATTTACTCTTATTTCACGATCCAATGTTTGTAAAATATGTAACATTAAATGTTATTCTATTACTTATGAATTGTAGTACGATATTAATATAAATTTACTTCTATGTATGTCTTCAAGCAGCTCGACCACTGCCTCCGCATTCTGAGCCATTTCGATATAAATTGCAGCCAGTAAATGGCAATTAACATTTATTAAATGTTTCGGCAAATATGTCTGTTTTTTAACAAGAAGGTAGTATTTATACCCTTGAAAAAGTACATGATACTTAATTCATCTGTACTAAACAGTGGTGAACCGTACCATTCCGTACCGTTTCGTGTTGCAACGCAATAAACCGTATAAGACCGTGCTAATCCTTGCCTCTCCGTAGTACAACGTATAACGATAGTGGCTTTCCGTGACAATGACGTATTAATCCGTATTAAAACCGTAGCTTATACGTAGGGTAACCGTACAAATACGTAGTTCTCCGTACAAAACCGTGGAAATCCTTGACAAGTTGGTGGACTACGAATCAGTACGGACTAGTACGGTTTTCGTACGGACCAGTGCCTATCAGTACGGATTAACATGGACGGATACGCTACGGTTGATTTTTCCTTAGCAAATTTTTGTGCATGTTCAAAAATTGTCAAGGATCGCTACGGATATACAAGGACTACTACGATTGATTACGGTTACAATACGGAGAGCTACTGACCAGTACGGGTAGCTATGGACAGTGCCGGAATAAATCCGTGGCTCTTCCATGGGCGTATTCCGTGAATATGTGACCGGGGTATAAGCAAACTGAAAATTGATATTCAAAAGTACAACAAAAATCTGGAAAAAGGTGTGGGTGATCTTCCTGAAGCAATGAAAAATAATAATATGAATAATAATTGCAGACTTGGCTTGATGGTCTGTTCATGAGAGTAATATTTAATGTAAACTGAAAGTGCAATATTGTGTTCATGATAAGACAGGTTAGGGTTAAAAAGTACTTTTGAAATGACAGAATGTTTACTGATGTGCCACAGACAAGAGAGATATTATAGAGGGTAACCATATTTTTTGAAATCTAACTTGTTACAAATAAATTGATATTAATCTGCGAAAATGTACTAACTATTAATTTCTTTACTGTTACCCGTCCCCAACAAAATTTAATGTTCTTTTGTTTGCACTCAGAATAATGTATTAACTTACCAGGCAAGTTGGGAGGACGCCCTGAGAATAATGTATTAACTTACCAGGCAAGTTGGGAGGACGCCCTGAGAATAATGTATTAACTTACCAAGCAAGATGGGAGGACGCCCTGAGAATAATGTATTAACTTACCAAGCAAGATGGAAGGATGCCCTGAGAATAATGTATTAACTTACCAGGCAAGTTGGGAGGACGCCCTGAGAATAATGTATTAACTTACCAAGCAAGATGGGAGGACGCCCTGAGAATAATGTATTAACTTACCAAGCAAGATGGGAGGACGCCCTGAGAATAATGTATTAACTTACCAAGCAAGATGGGAGGACGCCCTGGGAAAAATGTATTAACTTACCAAGCAAGATGGGAGGACGCCCTGGGAAAAATGTATTAACTTACCAAGCAAGATGGGAGGACGCCCTGAGAATAATGTATTAACTTACCAAGGCAAGATGGGAGGATGCCCTCGGAAAAATGTATTAACTTACCAGGCAAGATGGGAGGACGCCCTCGGAAAAATGTATTAACTTACCAGGCAAGTTGGGAGGACGCCCTGAGAATAATGTATTAACTTACCAAGCAAGATGGGAGGACGCCCTGAGAATAATGTATTAACTTACTAAGCAAGATTGGGAGGATGCCCTCGGAAAATGTATTAAATTACCAAGCAAGATGGGAGGATGCCCTCGGAAAAATGTATTAACTTACCAGGCAAGATGGGAGGATGCCCTCGGAAAAATGTATTAACTTACCAGGCAAGATGGGAGGACGCCCTCGGAAAAATGTATTAACTTACCAGGCAAGATGGGAGGATGCCCTCGGAAAAATGTGTTAACTTACCAGGCAAGATGGGAGGATGCCCTCGGAAAAATGTGTTAACTTACCAGGCAAGATGGGAGGATGCCCTCGGAAAAATGTGTTAACTTACCAGGCAAGATGAGAGAAGTGGCTGTCAGTGGAGCAACCCACCACCTCACAGTTGATTTTTCTAAACTCCTCTACACGGTCACTGAATGAAATAATCTCAGTCGGGCAGATAAATGTGCTGAAAATTCAAATATTATTCATTAGTATGTTATATTTTTCTGAAAATATTGTTGTAAATTTCTTTCCAATCTCAAAACTACAGTAAACTACACTTCTGTTTAATTCAACATTAAAGTTAGATTATTGTTCCATTTTAGTGTTGATCTGAACCAATAACTTGTGTGCAAAATTTCAGATTGTTCACTCACACTGTATTTCCAGACTGAATTATTATTCAAATTGTGAAAAATGACCCAAAAAATATGGTAAACAAGAAAAGGCCAGGCATTCAAAAATTGAAAAGCCTTGCAACTCTTTTCACTCAAATTGGACTTATATCTTTAATTTCTTCATCATCTTTGCATATCTTTCTGTGCCAAAGCTGACCTACGTAAAATAAATTTTAAAATATTTTTAGGCTTTTGGAACTCAATGGACTGCCTCTAAATTTGACCCCCCAAAATAGTTGCTGACACTAAATACCAAGAAACCATCCCCTTTTTGCCAGAAGCTATCCCCCTTTCAGCACAAACTCCAAAGTTCTTACAACCCCTCATTAATTATAAACAGTATCTTCTAAAAACTAGAAATGTGTCATCATGCCACGGATGCCCCCGCATGCAGCCAAAATTTCAGATGGTGCATTAATTTTTTTTTTTCATTTTAAGTTCAAAGCCCTTAAAACTTTTCAATGTTAACACAAACCATTTCCATACAACGTTCAAGGCACTGAAATTATTCAGTCTTAACCTTTAGAAAGAGCATATTGCATATTTGTAGCCAAAATAATGGCTAAAAGAATGAGTGCTGGAACTGAAAGTTCAAAATTTTTCCAACATTCAGGAAAGATAAGTTTGTCTATATTCATTGAACCACAACCAAATTCAAACTTAAACTGCTTATTCCTTAGAAGTTAGATGTATCTATATTATTTTCAAAGTGAAAGGGACATAACTCTGCCAAAAAACCATCAAACCATGACCAAATTCCAACTTGACCTGCCCATTCCTTTGACATATCCATATGTCAAATTAAAATTGAATATGTAACACTGTTAGGTAGATAATGAACAGAAACTGTAAATTTCATATTATTTTCAAAGTGAAAGGGCATTACTCTGCCAAAAATCATTGAACCATGACCAAATTTGAACTTGACCTGGGCATTCCAAAAACATATCCATATGTCAAATTTGAGTTGAATGTGTTGTACCATTGGGGAGATAATAAACAGAAACTGAAAATTTCATATTACTTTCAAAGTGAAAGGGGCATAACTCTACCAAAAATCATTGAACCATGACCAAATTTGAACTTGACCTGCGCATTCCATTGACGCATCCATATGTCACGTTTGAGTTGAATGTGTTGTACCTTGAGGGAGATAATGAACGGAAACTGAAAATTTCATATTATTTTCAAAGTAAAAGGGGCATAAACTCTGCCAAAAAATCATCGAACCACGACCAAATTTGAACTTGACCTGCGCATTCCTTTGACGCATCTATATGTCAAGTTTGAGTTGAATGTGTTGTACCTTGAGGGAGATAATGAACGGAAACTGAAAATTTAATATTATTTTCAAAGTGAAAGGGGCATAACTCTGCCAAAAATCATCGAACCATGACCAGATTCGAACTTGACCTGTATTTTCTCATGACATATCCATATGTCAAGTTTTGAGTTGATTGTGTTGTACCGTTGGGGAGATAATGAACGGAAACTGAAAATTTCATATTATTTTCAAAGTAAAAGGGGCATAAAACTCTGCCAAAAATCATTGAACCATAACCAAATTCGAACTTGACCTATATTTTCTCATAACATACCCATATGTCAAGTTTGAGTTGAATGTGTCCAACCGTTCTTGAGATAATGAACGGAAACTGAAATTTCATATTATTTTCAAAGTAAAAGGGGCATAACTCTGCCAAAAATCATCGAACCATGACCAAATTCGAACTTGACCTGTATTTTCTCATGACATATCCATATGTCAAATTTGAGTTGAATGTGCCCAACCGTTCTTAAGATAATGAACGGAAACTGATGATGACGGAATGACAGAATGACGGAAGGACGGAAGGACGGAAGGATGGAAGGACGGAAGGACGGAAGGACGGAAGGACGGAATGACGGAACAGGGCGTAACACTATATGCCCCGGCCATTACATGGCGGGGGCATAATAATATTTTTTACAAAATTTATTATGACAGTAAACTTTTGTTGTATCCATAATCGAACAAAATATTATACTGCTATTTAAAGGAATTAAACCTTTAGCAATAAGTTTGTGCATGTAACAGTCCCTCAAATGTTTCCTTATTACATGTACAATGCTACAATGGTTTGCCAGTGGAACAACGATTGTGTTCCCACTGTCAAACTATTGTAGAGGATGAAAAGCATGTATTATTATATTGCCCTCTATATGATTCCATTCGTAACGACTTGATTCGAGAAGCACAAATGCTAAACGATGGTTTTGATGCCCTCTCAGACATTGATAAAGTAGGATATGTTCTCTCCAATGCAGACATTGTATTTTTAACTGCCAAAACCTGTTTTAACATATTGAATAGAAGAAAACTAATTTTATACAACTGACATTATTTTAAATAACTTTTATGTGTTCTTAGATATACATGTACTATTTAGAAAATACCTTTGCTAATAATCTTCTAAACCGGATTTTGATTAAATCTAACCACAACATAATTTCTATATAGAATTTTTGGAAGTTCCTTGCTACCTTAATATTTTAAATTACATCAGTAAATTCATTTATCATATGTTCTTCACAACTCTGGTTTAAATTAGCAAGGGTATTTTAGATTTTTAGAATTTTATATGTAAATAGTAAGTCAACATTTAGTCTCTTGTAAATCTTATAGATTGGCAATGTGCATTTATATTGTATTAAAAAAATTATATGTATTTTAACTGTGTACATTGATGAGACTGTAATAAACTAATAAATAAATAAATGTATTTTAGAGATATTATACATGTAATTAAAAATTTCAACAATAATTTTGTAAACTATAGGCAATATATATATATATAGCTTTATTCACTTTGAAAAGTTCAAGTTCAGGAATCATTAGCCTCATTTAGATACCTCTCTCTTCACTCAAAACCATAAATGGTAGAGCTTTTAATACAGTTACATGACGTTACTTTCTCCCAGTTTTTAAAATTGGGGCCCGTGAAATTATTTTTCCCTTGAATCACATTTCATAAAACAAACAGCCAGGGAAAAAAGGGACAAAAAAAAAAAGGGAATTTTCTCCCACTCAAGGTAAAAAAAAATTTCCACTCCTCGGGGGCTACTGTTTGATATCTATTCTAAACCTGTTCAATAATTATCTTCAAACAGACCTGTGACAACAATTATCCCTGGTATTAAATGGGATATACACCTTTAACTTTTATCAAGATTTCCGATTTCTGATTTTATTACTGTGTAAACTTTGCAGTCACAAGCAGTGAAGTATGATATTGTAAGACAATAAAAATACTGCACAGTTAAAGTTATGTCTGTTGATGACAGTGCAAATAATCAAGATAAAATTGTTTCACCATTATTGGTGTTCACTCTATATGATAAAGAAATGTGTGTAAAAAAAATCATTAGTGTTAAAGTATCATAACTGACTCTAAATTAATACCAGTATACATCAGTATTGCACTACACTCTAGATTGAAGGTATTTATACCAATTTCAATTGATGCACCATTTGTCATTTCTTTGTTTTAAGTTTGTTTGTCTGTTTTCAAGCTGAATTCAACACATTTTTGGAGACTCATATCTTGGCAGTCAGTGCACCGAAGTAGCTTTTGGGAAAAGTAATTATTACCAACTTCTCTTCAAATGACTGATCTGCATGATTTCTAAATTAAAGCATTGACAGAAAAATGAACATTAGAATCAATGTCCTAGATTGACTTCCCCTTGCCTAAGGCCCTAGGATTGAACAAGCAACCCCTAGATTACACATCTGATTGTCTCTCTATAAAGGTAAGCCATTGGACCCTTGTTCTAAAGAACAACACTAAGAATGTTATATGATGACTCTCCAGCTGTACTGATGAAGGAAGACCTCGATTTTCTTACACTACAATGCTTATTATGACCGAGGTTTGGGATTTAGCACCTGAGAAGAGCCACTGACCCGCAAGCTTAAGCTGAATACCTTCCTCACATGCGAATATCCAAAGGATCTGGAGTGGAGGGATTTGAACCCATAATTGTGTGGCGCAAATGATTCAAAAGTCAGAGACCTTAACCACTTGTTTATAGAGGCTGACCTATCATGTTCTTATACATGTGCATTGGGTGAAAAAAAATCTGGTATTTCATGGCTATGTACGAGTTTGAAGAAAATAATAATTAAGATTTTGTTACATGCATCTCTACATTAACATACAGTAAAAAATACAATTTGCAGCACATTATTCTAATAGAAATTGCTCAGGCAAAAAGGAAACAAATCTGTTACACGAGATTTTATGATATGTTTCTTTCCTTACATCTAGTATATCAAAGGAATGTGACAATCTGAAATACATGTAGCATGTAAATGACATGAGCCGTGTCATGACAAAACCAACATAATGGGTTTGCGACCAGCATGGATCCAGACCAGCCTGCGCATCCGCGCAGTCTGATCAGGATCCATGCTGTTCGCTTACAAACCCTATAACAAGTGGAGAAACTGATAGCGAACAGCATGGATCCTGATCAGACTGCGCGGATGCGCAGGCTGGTCTGGATCCATGCTGGTCGCAAACCCATTATGTTGGTTTTGTCATGACACGGCTCATATATGTTCAGTACGATCTATTATATCTATGCATGAAGTTTATATTGTGCTGGTGTCGTGTAATAAAGTTGATGTTTTCTGTGTGATACTGACATCATCTCAAAATATTCCAAGATAAAAGTGATCTCTTCCCTGTTTATTGAGATACTTATTTAAAGCACTTAAAGCAGTATATAAACAAGTCTACTTCCTGTTATGGCAAAAAAGGTTCAAGTTAAAATACATGTATATAGGTTCCCAGGAAAGATAGACTCACAGTGATCAAAAGTTACAGGCCCTTGTCATCGCAAGTCACAGTCAGTACACATTTAATTGTATGAGCTCCCAAGAAACTTAGTACAGTGATTTAAAATATTTAGAAAACTCCAAACTTGATTGACATTTCATCAATAACAAATAAACAATATCCATTTAATCAAAAAGCTATTTTTTAGGAGTTCGAGTATTCACAATCTATTTTACCAATTAAACTTAAGTATATGAATTTATGATATACATGTATTGACAGCTTAGTGCAGTAACAGGTTAACTTCTATTGAATTATAAAAGGAGATAACCCATTACTGCACAAAACATGCACATAATGTGTATAATCCCAAAATTTTTCACAAAAAACATTTAATTTGTCAAAAAATTATTTTTTTAAAGGGAAATAATAAGTTTTTGCCCTTTTTTTCCAATATAAGTATAAGTTTATGATGACATTAAATTACTATTGATGAATAAAATTAGTATCATTCTCTCAAATAAAATCTAAATTTTTCTAAATAAACTTCATTATCAATCTACAATAGTCACATAATGATGCAAATTATTCACTGAAATTAATACAGCTCAAAAGATACTCACAAATCTGCGGGATAGAAAAAGAAGACGAGGTATTTCCCTCTGTAGTCGGCCAAAGAAATTTCCTTGAATTCTCCGTTAACGAGGGCTTGTGCCGACCATTCTGGCGCAGGCTTTGTCAGTTTTAAATCACCGAGAGACATTTTTGTGGATTTGTTTGTCTGAAAAAAATAAAGAAAATGTTTTACAATTTTAGAATTCACTGATTAATGTATAAAGTTATCATAATGACAGTGAAAATTGAAGCCCTGTGGGTTAAAAACAACTATATATCTCTTTCTGTTATTCAACCCCACCAAAACCTTTTTGTAAGTGTCATAGATAGGTAAGATTTTGTTTAATTACATTTTATAATATTTCTGTATGAAATAAAAGAAAGGACTTTAATAAGCTGAATGGTAGATAAAAAGTCTAGGGTAAATTGGCATTTAAATAAGGCAATTGATCATTCGATTTTTTTTTTTTACTTTGGTTCTAGAAACAATAAATTCCTTATATTTTCTCAAAATTCATATTGCAAAACAATGATAACTCTAAATGAATAAATTGTCAATCTTCTTGAAAAATATTGAGATGAAAAATTATGTAAATAACAGATTAAATATCCTAATAATGTATATTTTAAATGGATTGTTTGCATTTTCTTCCCCATGATTAATATAAACACATTTATTTATTTCAGTCTCTGTCAATTCAATTATTCTTTTTTAGCACAAAAATATGTATGGATAATTATGATCTATCTGTGACATCAATTCAATATACTGAACATTTGAAAATCCTACCTTACCTTTAATTTAGTTTAAAGCTAAAGGGCATGACATCTAAACATCAATTCAGATTTTGAGATTAACAAAACATCTGACACTGTTTAAATTATAGTCGCCACATGATCACACTTACATAACACAAACTTTCCGAAATTAAATCATCTATCTGCACTTGCCTTCTTGCTATTTGACGTTATAGAAATTATATAATGAAGTAATTTAAAAATATACCGATGTACTGATGATACAGCCAATTTTCTTACACCCAGTCCTTGAAGATTATAAAGTTACAGGTACACTTGTACTGACCTCAATTTAAGACACTATTTGTTACTAACGTAAGTAAAAGCAAAATACATAGAGGATATTCAAGTTTTTTCTATAAATACATGATTTCTTTTCATCGAGTGGTATGAAAATAAATATTTCATGAGTGGCAGTAGCCACGAGTGAAATATGGTAATTTTCATGCCACAAGATGAAAATAAATCATGTATTTATAGAAAAACTTGAATTTTCTGTTTATTATATACATTTTTCTCTTTTATTTTGCAATAAAATTTGAAAGACTTTCCCTTAAATTTTGTGTACTGGCAGAATTTAAAAAAAAGTAGTACGGCAAGACACCAGTGAAAATACGGAAAATATGTTTCACCGCAGTGAAAAATAATTTTTTACAGTGAAAATATGGAAAATGAAAATACGCATTTTATTTCATCAATATTTCTCAATATTTCATTTATAAGTATATAATAAATGTACTATTCTGTAACAGTGTGTGTAAATAATACAGATAGTTAATTACAAGTACATGTATATAACAATAAAAAATTTCAGCATCTGAGGTTATGTTTGTACATTCCATAAACTATATGCATCCACATGAATAAACAAGAATAAAAATACACCCAAAAATCAAAAACATAACTTGTGAAAACTATTTAAAGAATGTCCTAAAATCTAAAATTTTCCTCATCAATGTGATGATGTGCACGTTCTACTTAAAATTAATATGCCTTGACATTTTATAGCAGCACATTTTCATGAAGTCAGCAATTATTTTCACTTATTTTTGACACAGCTAATCTGTTTAGGAAGACTTTAAGTTCAAATCACATATACTGGTTGACTTGACAACAGTTTTTTGTATTTAGGACACTTAAGACATTCTTAATAAAATTAGCATTAAGCTGTAAAAGACAAAATTAAGTTTTTAACCACTAATAAATTAACCGGACAATTTTTGGTAATGGATTTACATTGCTTTGAATTTGGAAGTCCATTCAAACTTTAATGTCAAATCAATATCAAAATACAAGAGCACCACATGCAGTTTTAACGCTCGTCTTTTTAAAAATTCAATTGTTGCATGGCAATAATATTATTGCACCATCAGACAGAATTATATGTTCACAAACTCACTTTAAATTGTATATAAAGTAGTGAAAATGACTAAAATGGATTTTTTCATTCAGAAAATAATTGGACCACTGTGTACATAATGTTTTTCACTCACCCAGGGAAACTCTAAAATGTCATCTCTCCAGACAATTTGTAATGACCTAATTACAAGTTAATATTTCTAATAGCTTTATAACCTTGTTTTTACAATAATGTTAAAGAAGTCACTAAATTCATCTTTCTTTCATTTTAGGCGTGCAAAAAAGATTAGGTTGCCTTTAAATCTTGTGTATTCAGTGTACATAACACACAAACAATTCAAACTATCGATAAAATAAATATATACATGTAACTCCAGTATTCCAAATATACACAAATGACATTATGAATAAAACATATATGTATATACACCAGTTTTCAATAAAGAATATCAAATTTCTGTGTTAAAAGCATTAATTTACTTCATAGTTGTATTCAATATCTCTTAAGGACTGAAATAATTTTACCATAAATTTATTCCATCTTTCATTTAATAATGCATTCTTAAACTAAATAAAGATGAAGTACTACTTGGGTTTACATGTTTATTACATACATTTAGTAAATCACTGAAAAAATATACAAAAAACATAAAAATAACACAAAGGTTTGTGAGTAACAGTAAAAAATATAATCCCTAGGAAAATACTGTTACCCCGAGGTGTATTTTTAGAGGGATTTTACACATCATTCAATATCAACACCAGGGCAAGTACATGTGCAACTGCTCTTCCTATTCTTTGTCTAACTGTGGCTCAAGTTTTTTTGTTGTTTTTTTTCATCTTAAAAATACTAAATCATTGTATGCTTGGGTAATTCAAGTGTACTCATACAAGCATAATTCATGCTTGCATAATATAAGTGTATGCTTGCATAATTGAAAGAGTGCAAAATTCAAGAGTATGCTTTTAAAATTCAAGTGTCTGCTAAACTCTGCTTACATAATTGAAGTGGAACCTACAAAGCAATTAATTCAATTGAATGCTTGCATAACTGAAGTGAAAGCTAGCATAATTCAATTGAATGCTTGCATAATTCAAGTGAACTGAATATTGGAAAAATCACAAGGTTTCACCTTTACTGTCAATATCAGAAGATGTTACACTTATTGCTCCATTAATAAAAAGGTCGTTCTCTTTTATAGACATTAGAGGTTTACTTTTTGTAACTTTCAACTTGAATGTCACGTTTTCATTTTCATATTATACACATAATTTCAAATACAATGTGTAAGAATTTTCAACTTACTTCAACAGAGAGAGATCTTTCTGCAACTTTTCCCTTGAGGTCTTTTCCAACTTGTATAATTGTAACATTCATTAATTCAAGTTCTTCTAAATATCTTCTATACATCCAATATAACTCATTTACTATTAGAAAGATTCTGCTTTTATTCAAAAGTAAACCAGATTATAAATTTATACTGTCAAGGTTGACTTGTCAGCAAAATATATGCTGCATTCAGAGCTAAGATGCATGGGATGCAAAGTCAGTTAATTTCATGCGTTACATTGAATTCAAAATGACTAACTGCTGATAATTTCAATATATTGCATATAATATTACAGCATTGCCCATCAATTGACTGATCTGGATTATCAGAATAATCATATGTGCACTCGTATATGTAAATTAAGATATCGTAATTACCATATTATCCCCGCCCATGTCATAATGATATTCATATTTGCTTTATGTTACACAACCCACCTGCTATGAGCTTGTAATTGAAAAATGGTATCTCTTTGGCAACCTAATGCAAGTAACTTTAAATTTACATTCAAACTTGACAAATTGAATTTAATGAACAAATATCAAACAGATTAATATAGAGGGCTGTAATACTTATTCCATTAGTATAAATTCACAACATCCAATCAATAATCTTTATGGTATAGATTTTTAAGCACTATAGATTTTGCTCTTTTATATCAAGGGATGTGAATAAATGAAAATTGACAGATTTTCCACAGTCTTAAGTGCTTTAATTCTTAGAACATGACACAAGAATTTATGCATGATATGTAAAGCCAGAAACAAAACATAAGCAAATATTTTAAATGTATTTTAAATGTTTCTGTGGTGTTACATTAATTAAATCTTAACATATCACTAAAGGTGATGAATACTCCCCCACATCTGCATTATTATCAATGTATTTCAGAATAACAAAAATCAATGCATGAGCAAAAGTGTAAAAATATATTTTAGCACTAGTGACCTTGACCCTAGTCACCTCTAGTTCCATCCTAACCATAGATAATATGCATGTCACCATGAGTTTGACATTGACCCCTGTGACCCTAATCTCCACCCAAAGTTTAGAGAACAGCCCAAGGTATGTTTTTGGCTTATTTTATAGCCGTTATTGGGTCATATTCCCAATTGAAAACAGTATATTATTTTCCCAATCTACAGGAAGATTTTCCTAATTGAAAGTTATAAAATAAAAATATTGAATATAGAATTCTAACATCTTTAAATATAAGGGCTTCTTCACTGTAATAGTGCTAAAATGTTTGAAGATGCCATCCTAGAAAGGGATTGTTTGCATTCATTTAATCACTGCAAAATTTCAGTCATGCATTTTTCCCAATTTTTAACAAAACAGCGCTGAAATTCCCAATGCCAAGGGTATGGGTCATGTTCCCAAAATCCTGGAAAAAATATCTGCAGGGTTAGTAACAAAATGAGAAGATATTGGCCATTCAATCCTTTTGCTGGGAGTAAATAAAATAGTGTCTGTTCCACAAATTGGATGGCACAAATTGCAATTTGAATAATTTACCCCACCTCGCCCACACTTGATCTTGTCTGTATGTCTGACACCAACCACTCATTTAAGACCTTCTTCCATCCTGTAATATGAGTAATCAGTATGGTCAGGACCAACCTCAAGACAGGATCCAGTATCTAGACTGGCATATCAATCCAACACTGATGTATTTAAGTCATTGAGTGACAAATTTATAAACCCTTAATATATAAGGGAAATCCTAATTGTTCCTAATTTCTGTGCAATAGCGAGCAAGACTAGTGTTTCTTTTCCCAATTATCATTTGTATTCTATTAAGCCAGAGGCTATCTGAAATTCAATAACTTAACAATAGAGTAAGACATTATCAATCACTGTGCTCTAAATCTATAAAGTTTATCAAATCTTTATTATTGTGGTGTCCTTTATGTAGTTCATCCTACTCATCCCTAATAACACTTGAAAGTTAAGAAGACAAAGGTGTACATGACTGTATACTTCAAAATAAAATTCCCTTTTTTTTTATCTCCATTTTAAATCAATTACATTTTATACTATTAATTTAAAAATTTTAACACATAAAGTATCCAATCAAATCAATACTGGTTTACTTTACAAAAAAGTACAGAAATTATCACGCTAAAAATTATGACATGCATTAACAAAATTAATCCAACATATACATTGTAGTCCAAAAAAATATCATATTTAAAATTAATTGCAAACATTTAAGTGCCTTCTGAAACTTTTGTGCCTGTAAAGACACTTTAAAGAAATTACTTTCACTAATACTTTTCCAATATAACAATATACATTTACATGTATAATATATATTCAAAAAGAGAAGATTTTATTACTATTAGTCCAACACATCGAAGCAAATTAATCAAACAAGAATGTGACTCAATTCCCGCTTATTTTCCTCAGAAAACTTTCATTATTAGGGATAAAGTATTGTAACCTGCTATCTCATCAATTGATTTTCCTGTTACCATGGTTACGATAACAATGTCAACATTTATATTAACCCTTTCAAACAGTCTATTCTAAGTTAAAGGGATTTTAATTTAAAAATATATATAAAGTGTGCTTCCAACAGTTTCAGTGCCTGGTCAAGTTGCATGAATGTAACAGGCTCAGGCCAGGTGATTATATCACTGACAGCTAGGGCAGGGCTTCCAGCATGTTAAAGGCACTCAACAGGGATGGATTTTTTTTACATGATGAGACTTGAAATGATTTTTTTCTCATTAATATTCCATTTGATTTAGGTCTTGACCAATAACCTGTGCACTCACTCTGTTTTAAGTTCTAGAATGACTTTTTTTATTTTAAGAAATGACCCAAAATTGAAAAGCATTGTTATGATTTTCATTCAAATCAAGCTAAGAATAGCATAAAAATACAACTTTCAGTTTATTTCTAAGTATATTTCTACAATCATTATCTTTGGAGTATTTTTCTATTTTAATTTCCACAGCTTATCTAAGTTACAAGTTCAAATTTTGTGTTTTGGGTTTTGGAGTTACTTCAATTTAACAAGACACATTGTCAATTTCAAAGTCTCAAAAACATATTTTAGTTGGGAAAGAAAGGGGGGGGGGGAAGCAGGAAAAAAAAAAACCTGCAATAATAAACTAAAAGGTAAACATACAATTGAGCAAGGTGTTTCCATCCTAATTATATCTGATGAGTATTAACCAGGTTTCTTTACAAGTTAAATTAATCTTTCTACAGTGGAACAGCTTGGCCAAAATCAATTTTTTTAATTATAGAAAATGAAAGGATAAATAACTCATTGGCAAGTCGGAGCATCGCTTATTATATATGAGCCGCGTCACGACAAAACCGACATAATGGGTTTGCGACCAGCATGGATCCAGACCAGCCTGCGCATCCGAGCAGTCTGATCAGGATCCATGCTGTTCGCTTACAAACCCTATAACAAGTAGAGAAACTGATAGCGAACAGCATGGATCCTGATCAGACTGCGCGAATGCGCAGGCTGGTCTGGATCCATGCTGGTCGCAAACCCATTATGTTGGTTTTGTCGTGACGCGGCTCATATGTAAGTTAGAAAGAAGCAGAGTTTGTCTACACTGAGATCAACATGCTTCATTGGTCTAAAACATGCTTACTTTTGTGGACAATTTAACTTTTTAAGTGATTAGGTAATTTAGGTATATGATGGAAGATCTGATATATATACATTAAAGCAGCACGCCTCCAGATTCATCCTAATTTTCATGAAAATTTTGAAAATGTATCTATTAAAAGTTAAATATTGTGAACTGAATAAAGAAAATAATTAACACATTGCAATAGGCACTTATAATCCACGTAAATTACCAAAAAGAGGTCAAAATATGCAAAAATAATATAGCCTCTACTGCGTTAGTAACACAGATGAAATATGGTGATAAATACTGCAAAAAACAGTCATTATAAATTGCACATAAGATATAAATTATCACTTGAATCCTTAATATGTTTACTTTTCTTAAAATTTTAGTACAATTATTCCAAGTTTAATTTTCTTGAAATATTTTGGCTCATCTGGAGGCATGCAGCTTTAATTATGTTGAAAGTATTTAGTATCACACATAACAACAAACCTGAAGAAAGAACTATACATGAAAGTTGTGAGAATGTGTTCAGCAAGTGTGAGATATATGTTTAGATATATATTTTCCCTGTATATTGTAGATACTAAAACGTTCTAGAACAAAGTATTATTGTTCATCACATAAATGTTCATTCTAAGTCACTCAAAAATATATCAACATAATTTTTCAAACATATTTTTATAAGAACATCAAAATGATACATTTCTTTTGTTTTTGTCAATTATATTTACTGGAAAATGTGCCCATTGTACAATTTATGTTAAACAGAAGTTTCTTCATATTTATTTAGTATGGAACAGGTCATAAAAAATTCAAATAATTAGGTAAATTTACATTCAGATTGGTAACATGATTTATAAATAACTATAAAAATAAAAGCTGGCTAAAAATTGCTGCAATAGCACAGTTGGTAGAGTGCTTAGCTCAGAAGGAACATACATTGCTGAACCTGACTAAAGGGCTTCCAAAAATATCTCTTTTTTTCGTGGACTGTAATAATAAAAAAAAAATTCAAAATGATTAATATCTGCTGTTTAGAAATTTAAACTTACCACTATAATTAACACATCATAATTTGTGCTGTATAATTTTTTAGCCTTTCACAAAATGATATTCTCTTTATTTCATTTTTTATAATTATATAGTTAATACAATGCATGTCATGCCTTGTGCTCATGTGGGATAATACAGGGTTTAGGGGCATTAGGGCCAGACAGCAATCGTCAGTTTAACCCATTATTGTTTTACACAAATTACTGCTATGTTGGCAAATATTCAAAGCAATAAAAGATGCGCCTGTGGCATAATATTTCTAAATTTAATTTAGATTTATAAGGAATCAATAGATAGAATTTTGAATTAGGTAAACATGATCATATGAATATATCTAAATACTTAGAACCAAAGAATGAATGAACCAAGCTTTTAATAGCCCCAGTTCTTTCATTTCCTCTTTTTTGTGATCTTGAAAACAACAAATTACAATGCTGACATTGGTCTTTGTTTTGAAAAAAAAAAACTTTCAAGTTAGAGTATTAAATTTTAAAATTCAAATGTATTTAATACATACAAAGAACAGTGTTACATTGTTTTTTCTTTTTCGCTATCCATCCTTAATGCATTATGATATAGTTTATTGTACAAATATTAACATTACCTTCATGGTTAACTAAATTAACTTAAGAAACAGTATAGATTTGCAAAAAAGATATTTTTATTACATAGCCAACATTGCTATAAGTAATATACAGTTACTTTTAGGACATGCCTATGAAACAAGAAAGGTCAAGAAACAAGGAAAAAGCATCCAAGAAGTGATGCACTCAAACAGAATACTACAGTATTTATGTATTTCTGTTTTCAAATAAATTAAATAATTATCTCCACAAAGAAAACACATTTGAATAGATCTACACTTTATTTGAATACGATTAATTGCACTTGAATACTAAATTACATTTACAGTACAATAAAATGCTTTGCCTTGACATAAAACAAGTGAAGTTGAAGGTCAAAACTGACAAACGTATAGGTCAAACAAAAAAATACAGACAGATAAAGCTCAGAAAAATAGTAAAATATAAGCTTGAGCAATGTACTTTAATAAATGTTTATTTTCTTAAAACTGTGTTAATTTTTTCAATAGCCTTCATGTAAAGAAGTGAAAGTCAGAGTCAGTCTGAAAAGATGCTGACATAAAATTTCTACATTATCAGATTATGTTGCCAAGCATTTTTGTTCATGATTACAGACGTATAAATTAACAAATTAATCTGCAACAATATGAATATTTTCTAGATTTAATTATAACGAGTTGTGTCTATTAAGTATTGACTCAATTGATGTTAATTGTTTGTAGATTTTACATGTATGTTACATAACCTCAATTAAATCATTTATAAATCTCAGCCTTGGGAACAAATTCAACAATTCAAACAACCAATATAAATTTAATGTCATTGACAATATAAAGTATTTATCTTTCAAGCAGACTGTTCAATAATAAAGCGGGAAATTTGCTTTCCAGTAAAATTAAGAAACTTACAATAATTTGTTTCTTTGTAGATATTTTCTAGAATGTCAGATTGACCGGCTTGGTCTTCTTATTGTCACGAATAACAAATATCACGAGACACAACTGGCACGCGGTTAATATCACTGTAGTGAAACTGTACGCGCATATTTTGACGACAGGTTGTATGGAACTATTCATTTTAAACAGAAATTCAAAACACACCATCATAAGCACATATCGAAAATACTTTGTAGGTACGATTTAACGAAATCAAGACCATCCTTTGACATTTCAACCAAAAGGTGCTAGTCGCATTGATTTGACCTAAATACAGTATGTTTAGTCTTGTTATTCATGTAATATAATATCCATATGTTAAAAAAAATGAAAAAATAAAAAGATCTATATGGATCTATTGGTAAATTTGCAAAGCAATGTGCAAATAAAGGAAACAAAAGAGACTTTACAAGAGATATTTTACCTCTTTGATAACATTAACATTTTTCCATTTCGTACGTTCTTTAGTTATTTTTTTTTTTATTTCTTTGTATTTTATACTTTTGTTTACATCAAAATTCAAATAAATCTCTTTTTTTTTTAAATTGGCATCAGATATTTACACTATCGCAATAATTTTAACCACATGTAATTTATTTTCTGTGTAAACTGAACTAAATTATATCGAGTTTGTTCATGAGATATTTTGTAAAAGTGCAAAATAAAACATTTGAGAAGTCAATGAGTATATTTTCAACTTGGGTTTTTGTTTGTTTGACAGATTGTAAGATGTTGGGTTTGACAGGACCTCTTTTCTAGGAAGCCATGCTGTAACTCATATAAACTATTGTTGTTTTTTTTTCTAATCTTGTTTATTTTGAACTAAAATATCTTAATTATAAGGTTGAATGAATTTGACCTTTTTAAAAACTCTTTTTCATTGGTGGATTTTAATTTATGCATTACGTAGGCAGTAAACAACTTTCTATTGGTCGCCTATATTTTTGGCGGTAAACTTTTTTGTCTCTTGCGCTTCTGCCTTTTTGGTTCATTCTGTATTCGTTTGACAAGAAGATCACATGTTGAAAATTCTATTTTACACAAATTTATTGAAAGTTATTTTACAGAATTGTTCCACATATGTTGGTATTTTATTTGATTTATGGACTGGTGTTTTATTCATCAGGATTTTATAGTGCATACCAAGAGGAGTTTTCGTATTCAGTAAATAATATTTCGTTGAATACGAATAAACTTTATTTCGGTACTTCGTGCCGCGTAAGCTGTTTGTATTTTGGGACTAACATGGCGTCCAAGGAACTGGAGAAGAAAAAAATATTACCTTCTAGAGGTAAAAGAGTGGACTATAAATTGTTAAATGACGGATTCGGAGATGAAGACCAGGAATCCTTCTGGACAGAGGAACACATGGAAGATATTAAATTGTTTTCCGAGGAAACTACACAAGCGACCTTGTTGCCAACTTCCGCTTCCGCTAAAAATGTCAGTTTTCACGAGGATGATGAATTTTCTGGGGATACAGACTTGAATAGTAAAAGTCGTCAGACTGATTCTGGTATCATTCAGATGAAGAAGGAGCTGAGCGCCTTACAACAAGAAGAACGGGTTCTTAAGGAACAGTTATCCGAAGCAGACGTATTGAGAAAACAAATTGAACAGAAGAAAACAGGACGTTAAAAAATTAAGAGGTGAGATCGTACGAGGTATCAATTTGTATTCTAGTAAAAAAAAACCAGTTATTGATGATTCAAGTAAAAATGTAGATATTGAGCATGTTACGCTTAATGACTTGAGAAAAAAACACAGATCTACGAAGGAAAGCAAAGTCGAAAATTAGTAAAATTGGTTTGGATATTTTTTCTCATTCAGATTCAGACACTTGCAGTGATGAAAGTTTGAATAAGATATCAAAGAATATGAAGAAAAAGGTGTCTAATTGTTTAAGTTCATCAGAAGATTCTGATGTTGATACTTTTCATTATTCGAAGAATAAAATTAGGTCTGGTATTTTTTGGCTAAGGCTGGGGATAAAGTAGTCAGTAGACAACAATATCCTCAATCCAGTCTAAGATTTGAATATGTCACTAGCTCAATTACATTTGACAAATTAGAATGGAATTTGTTTGTTGCAGGGGAATTAGAAATTATTTCATCCCCGTCTATGCAAGCTTCTGAACGTAAGGCTAGACTTGAGTTATTAAAGAAACTTATTTATCTTTGTTCTTCCTATGACTTTGTAGTTGTTAAGAATTTGTATGCAGCTGTTTTAAGAGAGATTGAACTAGGCCATCTTAAATGGGGAGATTCATATCAATATGTTGAATCGGCAATTTTATCTAGTAATGTGAGTAATGTTAACAAAACATCAATGTATGTTCGTCATAAGACTGAAAAAAGTAGATCAGATACTAGTGTTACTACAGAAAGAGTTTGGTTCTGTAGTCAATTTCAAAGAAATAAATGTCAGCAAAAAGCGCCTCATATTACTGTTGTTAAGGGCATTGCAAGATTATCTCAACATATCTGTGCATCTTGTTGGATAAAAGATAAGGTCAAGTTGGAACATCCAGAATGTTCAAGTTCATGCCCGTATTCCACAAATTGACTTGTGGATAGATATGATCATCTTAAAAAAATGTGACAATTAATGAAAATGTTGTAGATCTATTTTTTCCAAAATTTTGTAAAACACAGGGTAATAATATTGTTGATTCAGCAGTTATTGAAAATACTATTTGTAAACATTCAGTTAAATGTAACATTTGTAATGTCACTAAAAAAGATTTGATGTTTATTTATGATAAAGTTTTTATTCATGAGAAGGTATGCCAATCTGGTCTTTATAATTATGAAGGTTGCAAAATTCAGGTTAATGATAAAATCAATACTGAATTTATGAGACGTATGTTAGGTACGGATTATAGGGATTTGTTAGTTTGTGATCTTTTGAAATATGGTTTTCCGATTGGTTTTATTGATAAAAGTTTCCATTTTGATCATTTGGATTCTTGGAAGTACAAGAATCATTCTGGCGCTAATGATTATCCAAATGATATTAATAATTATTTAGGTAAAGAAAGTGCTGATTCATGTATTATAGGCCCTTTTAAGAAAAATCCCTTTACTTCTGAGTTAAAAATTTCTCCATTGAATTCAGTTCCAAAAAAGGATACTGAAGAAAGAAGGATTATTTTAGATTTAAGTATGCCCAAAGGTCAGGCTGTGAATGATTTTATTAATAAAGATTGTTATTTGGGTGAACGTGTTGATTTAGTTTTTCCTCGAATTGATGATTTTGTTCATTTAATAAAATCAAAAGGTCAAGGTTGTCTTTTGTTTAAAAAGGATTTGAGAAAAGCTTACAGACAAATCAGTATTTGTCCTAGCAACTATAATCTGGTGGCTTTTTGTTGGAAAAAACATATTTTTGTGACACTGTTCTAAGCATGGGGCTTAGGTCAGCTGCTCAGATATGTCAAAGGGTTACGAATGCAATAGCCTTTATTATGTATAAGATAGGTTTTTGTATTCTCAATTATCTTGATGATTTAGCAGGGGCTGAAACGAAAAATAATGCTCCTTTTGCATATGATTGTTTAGGACAAATTCTTAGTAAATGTGGTTTTATTGAATCTGTGAATAAAGCTTGTACACCTTCAGAAGTAATGACCTTCTTGGGTGTTCTATTTAATACAAATTCTATGACAATGGAAGTAACACCGGAGCGTTTAATTGAAATCAAAAATTTAATTAAAGTATGGTTAATTAAAACAGAGGCAACGCTAAGAGAAATACAGTCTCTTATTGGTAAATTAAATTTTGTGGCTTCTTGTGTGCGGTCAAGCAGAATTTTTTATAAGTAGACTCATAAATTGGCTTAAAGAATTGTATAATTATCTTCCTCATGTTTATGTTATAATTCCATCAGAAGTTAAAAAAGATATTTTATGGTGGCATAAATTTTTACAAGAATATAATGGAGTGTCTATTTTGATATATGAAAATTGGTCAAGACCTGGTGCAATTTTTTCGACGGATTCCTGTCTTACAGGCTGTGGTGGTTTTTTCAAAGGGAAGTATTTTCACTCAAATTTCCCTGATAACATACTAGGTCAAAATTACTCAATAGCTGTTCTCGAGTTACTTGGTATTATTCTGGCCCTAAGACTGTGGTGGTCTCCTGAATTCAAGGGTAAGAAAATAATTGTTAATTGTGATAATGAGGTTGTTTGTTCAGTTTTAAATTCTGGCAAAGCTAGATGCCCTATTTTGCAAGATGGTTTAAGAGAATTTTGTTTTTTGACGGCCAAAGCTGAATGTGAGATAAGAGCTGTACATTTATCTAGTACGGACAATCGTATATCTGATTGCTTATCTCGTTGGTATCAACACAAAAAATTTCAAGATGAATTTTTTCGGTAAACATCTGGTTTTCATTTAGATCATTATGAGGTGTTACAGCAAGATTTTGCTTTTGTTAATGACTGGTAATTCTTTTTGTCTTCTGGTTTATTTTGCAGATCTGCAATTGAAGACTCTCAAGACAGATTTAAAACTGTCTAATATTTCAGCATATGCAGAAAATAGTAGAAAAAATTTAAAAATTCAATGGGAATCATTTATATTATTTTGTTTGTATTTCAATTTCTGTTATTTACCTGCTTCAACTGAAACAATTCAGTTATATTCCCAATTTCTTAGTAGATCTTTTAAATCTGTGGCTAGTATTCGAAATTATTTAAGTGGTGTAAGAACTGTTCATCAGTTATTGGGTTATAATTTGAATGAAATGAATACTTTTTTGATAAATTTCACTCTTCGTGGAATTTCCCGATTGAAATGTCATTGTGTAAAACAAGCTCAACCTATAACTCCTTTTATTCTTTCTAAGATTTACTTGACGTTGAATTTTAAAGATCCAGAAAACTTAGTTTTTTGGTGTTTATTTTTATTTGCATTTTTTCTGTTGGCACGAAAATCAAATTTAGTTCCAACTACACTTAAAGATTTAATTAATCATAAATGTTTGATTAGGTCTGATGTTACTCGTGTTCATGGTGACTTAATAGTTACTATGAATTGGACCAAAACAATTCAGTTTGGAGAACGTCTTTTACAGACTCCTCTATTAAAGTTACCAGGCTCTTGTTTGTGTCCGGTTACTGCATATGATAACATGTTAAAGGTCATTCCTGGGAAATCTGCAGATGCTTTATTTCTTTTACCTAATGGTAAACCGGTAACTTATCATTTATTTCAAAATAAATTGCGTCAGGTTTTAAATGATCTTGGGTTTGACTCATCATTATATTCCTCTCATTCATTTAGGCGTGGTTTTGCTACCCTTGCCTTTCAGAATAATATTAGTTCAGATGAAATTCAAATTCTTGGAGATTGGCATTCTGACGTTTATAAACGTTATATTTCACTATCCATTGAAGATAAGTGTAAAATTATGAAGGATATTTCTCATGTTTTTTATGTTTGATTTAAATATAGTCTTTAATAAACTGTTCTTTGTATGTTTTCAGAACATGTAGCTCATCCACCACTTCGAAAGTGTACAATTGTCTCAGACTCCATTGCCAAAAATGTATCAGGTATTTGGGATACTCAAATAACAGCCTTTCCTGGAATTAATATTTCAAGGTTAAGTTTTCGTATTTCACAAGGTCAAGTTGATCTTAGATCTGCTTATGTCATATTACATGTTGGTACCAATGATGTAACTGGCCCTCGTTCAGAAGATGAGATTATCTCATCTGTAACGATTTGATTTCCAATGTTCGTCAACAATCTTCTGGAAGCATTATTGTATCTGCAATTATTCCACGCCCTATAGATTTTGATACTACTGGTAATTGGGTTAAAAATTTAAACAATAAATTGGTTCTACTATGCAAATCAAGAAATGTTATTTTCATTAGAACTTTCAAACCCTTTCTTAAATGTGGCTTGCCCCGTCGTGAGTATTATGCTATTAAAGACGGTGGTTTACATCTTAATCTAGAAGGTACAAGGCGTTTGAAAGAATTTTTCATTAATACCATTGCTCACTTAAAGTAATTACATCTTAGTGTTGGATGAGCGCTACATGTTTACTGCAAGTTTCAATATTTGTATTTCTAGACAGCTTGTTAAGTAAAATATGTAATTCGTAATTATTATAATCTTTAGAATATACATTCGTAAGAAAGTGTCATGTTCTAATGTCATTATGTCTTTGCTTGAGGCACTTGGTTACTCAAGAAAGATTAAATCTTACAAACTGGCAATGGCTAGTATTGAAGATTACTTTCTACTAAGGAGGTTAAAAGAATGCCTCTTAGTGGTTTTGTTATTGTGTATACACTTGTTGTAGAGTGTTTCAGGATATTGAATTTAATGTTTATATTCAAATATATGCATTAGTTGATATATGTACGTTATGCCTTTGCTTGAGACACACTGTTTCTCAAGAAAGGCTCAGTCTCGTAAGCTGGTAATGACCAGTCTTGGAGATTATGCTACTAAAGGAGGTGGTATGAAAGCCTCTTAGTAGATTTGTATGTATCTGAACTTTATTTGCTGATGTTTTGTATTTTGTAATGTTTTTTTTTTGTTTTTTTCATGGCCATGGGTGTGGCTGGATTATGAATATTACTTCTGTAATGATTAATGGATTGTCATGTGGATAGACAAAGACATTTTGATTGAGTTTCATGATGAAACAATTTCTATTTGTATTGAATAATATAATCATTTAATATGAATGTGAAACATGTGATCTCGAATTACCTAATAATATGATATCAAGATCAAAATTTCTCTTGTGTTTTCTTTTAAATGATAACTTATAATTTTGTTTATTTTGAACTAAAATAACTTAATTATAAGGTTGAATGATTTGACCTTTTTTAAAAACTCTTTTTCATTGGTGGATTTTAATTTATGTATTACGTAGGCAGTAAACAACTTTCTATTGGTCGCCTATATTTTTGGCGGTAAACTTTTTTGTCTCTTGCGCTTCTGCATTTTGGTTCATTCTGTATTCGTTTGACAAGAAGATCACATGTTGAAAATTTTATTTTACCCTCCACGCCCGCCCTTATTGTGTGTTATTTGTATATTTTATTGTACAATATTGTATTTTGTAGAAGTTATATTTGAAGAGTTGCTGGATTATGAATATTACTTCTGTAATGATTAATGGATTGTCATGTGGATAGACAAAGACATTTTGATTGAGTTTCATGATGAAACAATTTCTATTTGTATTGAATAATATAATCATTTAATATGAATGCGAAACATGTGATCTCGAATTACCTAATAATATGATATCAAGATCAAAATTTCTCTTGTGTTTTCTTTTAAATGATAACTTATAATTATACTGGAGAAGACAATACATGTATGTTCCAGAGTTTTAGAGGAAACTTAGATGTAAACACTAATTGGATTTGGTAGTTAAGGATTAAAGTATTGTTTTTGTCTCTTGTTTGAAGTTTGATTTGGTGCTTGAGGTCACCTATGTCTGCAAGTGGAGTATTCACAGCCGGATAAAGGTACTATGAAAACAGTCTCTCTACGAAATAAAGAATCCCTAAAGCACGCTCAAAACGACAAAATTGAAAATTTTGCAGGCTCGGTTTGAACCTGTTCATGGACGATAATGTAAACACCGATTAACAGCATGACTTTTGACACTTTAAGCTTCTGATAAATTATTTCCCAGCAAACCTAATATCATTGAGTTAAAAAGAGCATAAGTGGAACTGTTGAAGGGAAATATCTTACTTAAGCAAGGAGATTTTAGGGTCATGCACGTGAAATATAACATAACTACAGTTAGGCTCACACGCAAGGATCACAACAGTTAGGCATATACAACCAGATACAGCATTACACAGAGGATACAGTATACTAGTGATCAGGGGAAATCGATACAAATGTTACATGTACAAACTAATTATTCAAAACAATTTTTACATTATAAATTCGATGGTAGGATACTACCTCATCGCTCACCTGCCTAGTTTAGTTCTGAAAACGATATAAAGTTTTTAATCCAAATTGCTCCAAGTCGGACTCCCAAAACAAAATTTATCCCGTTTTCAGACTTAAACCAGACTGTAAAACTTTAAACGCTTTTTGTTGCATCAAGTACTAAAGCCAATCTTTGGTGCGCTACATTATTTTTATTGATATTCTCACGACTCCTTAGAATAAAAAAAAAACATATTGGAAGTTCCAGTCCGATTTGGAGCATTTTGCAGGTGCACGATGACGTATTATCATTGAAATAATCATATCTCAATAGTTAAAAAAATATTAGAACTTACAACAGTTCATCAGTAAATGACTCCACCCTGGCAAATAGGTATGCAATATTCCATTAATTAAAAAAAAGTGTCACTCCGTCTGGTCATTTGGTCTGATGCACTAGAATTGCATATGGTGTGCACTTCTAGTTTAGATCAAGTGCCCACCATTTGCACAAACGCGGTAAATTTAGTTTGTATTCATCTGTACAAAATAAAATAATCATATCTTATAGTGACTCGCTATTTAACATAAGATGCACTGGTCTATGTATGTCTTATATCTTGACTAAATGAATAGAAATATTTTAATGTCAGTGAGATTTGATCAGTTCTTTTACACAACACTGGTATCTTAGCTACGGCTCAAAGAAAACAAAACGTATGTGAATGCAAAATGAAACATGTACTTGAGAAAATAAATTAGATAATTGGAAATAAGTCATAAAAGTAACATCGTAAGAAATACAAATAATTAATTATTTTCATACAATTCCCATGCTTGTGTACCTGGCTCTACTTTGTACTAGTATAACCCGTATGTGATGTTAAAGTGGCACAAAGAATAGATATACTGATTAGTCGGGCCATATAAAGGAATTAGGAATACACAAGTAAAAAAACAATAATGAGCTCTACATAGTTTAAATTAAGTTTATTTGTGTGAATGCATATTCACTTTATCTTATAATGTTTACTATTGTATACGTTTAGTCTATTTATTGAGAAAAATATAGTTTATTTATTGAAAGAACCTTAAATCCCCCCCCCCAGCCTGCACGTTACAGGAAGGCACATGGTTTCGGCAGAAAAAATTGAAGAATTTGGGGGAGGGCCCAACCCGGGGGTTTTTTAAAAGGGAAAACCAAAATTTTGGGTTTTCTTGTTTGGGAACTCCCGAAATCCCCAAATTTTTTGCTTTTTCCCGGGCCCATGGGGAGCTCAAAACCCCAAAATTTTGTAAGAATCCCAACAAACGGGAAAACGGTATTTGGGTTAACATGGGGCTAAGAAACTAAAAACATGAAAAACCCTAATTAAATTAATGCTGGGAAGATGTTTTGACTAAATTTTTCAATATATAAAAAATCGGGAATAAATAAATTAATTTAACAAATTTACAACACTTAAATTTTTACCTTTTAATATACTTTTATTTAGGGTTTGGGAACCAAAATTTAAAAAAAAGAAAACATTCATTCGGAAAAGGGTATATATTTTACCCAGGTGGGGCCTTTTTTTAAATTTGGTTTATGTTTGTTAAAATCTAAATTTTTTTTAAAAAATTTGGATTTTTTTTTTCCCTTTTCAAGGGTAAAACATATTTTATTTTTCTTTAATACACCCCTTTTCTTTTTTTTTGTTTCCCACAAAAAACCCGTGCAAAAAACTACTTTCAATCCGTTTTTTTAATTTCCGGGGGTTATTATTTAAATACCCGGGGGATTTTTCCCTTTGCAACTTTTGGTTTTTCTGACTTTGGGCCTTTTGGGAGTGGCCCTGGATTAGGGGCGACTTATAAAAGGGTTTTTTTCTATTTGGTAAAAAAGGGTTTTCTAGGATACGGGCCATTTACAAAATATAAAAAAGGCGGATACGTACTGGGGCCCCTTTTCTCTTTTAGAAAAAAAACGGGGGGTTAAACAAATATTTTAATTTTTGATGCTAAAATTTGTTGACTAATTTTTTATTTCTGTTATATCCATTCCCCTTAAGTTAAATTCCCCAAAATTAAACCAAAAATTACATTATTCTTTCCCTTGTTTCCCCTTCTTTGGTGAAAACAAAAATAAAAAAAAAATTTTTTTAAAAATTTGGGTTGGGACTTTTAATTTAAAATTTCATTTTTTTATTTATAAGTCAAAATTTTCAGGGGGGCTTTTTTTAAAATTGATTAGTTTTGTCAGACATTTTAAAAATTTAAATTTTTACGAAAAAAAACTTAATTGTTTTTCCTTTTGGGAATGTAAATATATACCCCTTGTTTTTACATTTTTAAAAAATTCCCCACCTCTCTTTTTTATCATTTTTTTTGAAAATACTTTCAATCCGTTTTTAACCCCGGGGTTTTTATATGCAAAAAAACCCTTAAATAGATTAAAATAAAAACCCCCAATCGGCACCAGACCAAAGTGTTTAAAAATCTTTTGTGCCCCATCCGAACGAAAAACAGTGATTTTATCAAGGGGTTTAAAATTTCACATTTTTGGGAAATATATTTTTTCAACTCAACACGACATCATCAAAAAAATGCTGCCTTTTACCTGATTTTAAAGGGGTCAAATTTGCCCCTATTT